CCGTTGCTTCTTGTCCTGCCTTCAGGCGCTTTGGAGAATAGCTTGACTCCCTCTTCTTTGTGGCAGCCCCTGAGATATTGGAACACTGCTATCATGTCCCCCCTCGTCCTTCTCTTCGTTAAACTAGACATACCCAATTCCAGCAACCGTTCCTTATATGTTTTAGCCTCCAGTCCCCTAATCATCTGTGTTGTTCTTCTCTGCACTCTTTCTAGAGTCTCAACATCTTTTTTACGTCGCGGTGACCAAAACTGGATGCAGTATTCCAAGTGTGGCCTTACCAAGGCATTGTAAAGTGGTATTAATACTTCACGTGACCTTGATTCTATCCCTCTGTTAATGCCGCCCAGCACTGTGTTGGCTTTTTTGGCAGCTGCAGCACACTGCTGGCTCATATTTAACTGATTGTCCACTAGGACTCTGAGGTCCCTCTCACAGTTACTACTATTGAGCAAGGTACCACCTATACTATACCTGTACATTTGGTTTTTCTTGCCTAAATATAGAACCTTACTTTTTTCACCATTGAATTTCATTTTGTTAGATAGCGCCCAGTGTTCAATTCTGTCCAGATCCTCCTGTATCCTAAGCCTGTCTTCTGGAGTGTTGGCTATTCCTGTCAGCTTGGTGTCATCTGCAAATTTGATGAGTTCCCCATGTATCCCCTTGTCCAGATCATTGATGAAGATGTTGAAGAGCACTGGGCCCAGAACAGAGCCCTGGGGTACCCCACTACACACTTCCCTCCATGTAGACGTGGTTCCATTGAGGACCACACACTGAGTACGGCCGGTCAGCCAGCTACGGATCCATCTGGTGGTGATGCTGTCTAACCCGCATTTTTCTATCTTCTCAAGTAGTAGATTGTGGTCTACTTTGTCAAATGCCTTACTGAAGTCCAAGTAAATTATATCCACAGCATTCCTCTGGTCCACTAATTTTGTCACTTGGTCAAAGAATGCAATAAGATTTGTCTGGCATGATCTGTTTTTGACAAAATCTCTCCTTTATTAATGTTGTTTTTACATAGACAAAAGTGGAAACATGGAAATAAAATGCTCAGATTCTAAAGAATACCATAAGATGTTTCCATTAAATTACAAACATCAGAACTAGCAGCAGATGGAATTTTTCATGGCTTACTTTTCCCTACCTTGGGGGCAGGAGAGAAAACTTTTTTAAATGGGGCTATATAATTATTTTCCTGTTCGGCATAGTCACGTGAGTTTCCTATTGCGAAATATGTGTAACAACTACACTTTACACAAAGTTTAAAACAGTCAATATAGAACTCCAAAGTGAGAATTTTGGAAATTGGACGAGGAAGAAATTAAATTACAACTATTCCTATAAAAATAAATACATGAGAACCATAACACTGGAGCTAATGAAGATGCTAGAACACTTTGTTGGTTCAAAGTGTTGTGAAAATGGTGTTGGCATGTGCTTGTTTAACTCAATAAGCCATCTTATTTATAGTGCCATCATGGTTACCTCCCCATCCTGACGCAATTAACACAAACATGTTACTGACATCCGATCCATTATTCTATCATACTGTTTAAATGTATATTATCATTTGCATTGAACTGAATATTTTATTTGGCTAAGTGTGATTAGACACATAAGAAATTTGTCTCTGGTGTAGAGGCTGTCAATGTACATGCAAAACAACAGGATGATGATGATGATGATGATGATGATGACCATGATATCAATAATACCAAAAAGAGGGGGGATAAAGAAGATAACAAGGGTAATAATAATACTATAGTCATACTACATGGGTAAATATACCTAAACATTAGACAGAATGCCTAGGTCTGGTTGGGTTAAGATGGAAAAGCATAGTATAATAATGGTTCTGATAAATGTTTTGATTCTGATAAAAGTTTTTTTGTCCCAATGTTTTTATTTAACTTTTATGTGAATGTTATATTGAAATTTGTGCAAAATTTGCATCATTAAGGTGGGTGATTGATGATTTAGTGTTATGGGCTGGAGGTGACTAGAACCATAGTCCAAAGAATATAGAAGGCATCAGGTTGAAGAAGGCTGCATTGCTATATTTTTTCACAGACTAAGAATTAAGAATCTAGGCATATCCATCCGTCCGTCCATCCGTCCATCCACTCTGCCATTCTATTCAACTGAATACACAGGTTCATATATACATCCAAAAAGAAAAAAATCATAACAAAGGACAGAAAAAGTGGCTGATTCTGAAAATGTATATGCATAGATTCAATTTCAGAATTAATATCATGTATCATGATAGAGAGAAGGACCAAGCTGAATAGCTTGCCATCCAAATGCTAAATATTGACAGACAATTCCAGATCTTCTGGCTTCTATTATGAATCTTTTTTCAAAAGCCAGGTGACAACTGGACAGCTGTTCAAGCAGAGTATAAGTTAGGCCACACAGCCATCCTAAACAGATTTAAACATGTCAGCTGGGAGCAGTGGAAACACATGACAAAGTGTAGAGTGCAACAACATGACATAATGTGAAGGGGAGAGCTTGCATCATGAATTCACCATGCATATTTCATTCTTTTGGCATCATCATGGTTAAACATGGGCCCTTATGAACAGACCATGCTAAAAAGAACTAAAGCATATCTAATACTTAACACATACTCATCTCTAATGAGCTGCAAGGCATTTTACTCAGCAAAAGGTGTGGTTGAAATTTACTAATAATAACTATGTTTCAAATTGCACAAACTTACCAGATAATAAACAATCATAAAATCTCTTCAGCTACACAAATCTAACCAACGCTTTTATACATATACTAGAGTACAAGTAGTTGCAATATAATATGTGTCAATGAACAGACATGTACAAATGATACAACCTGAAGTTACACAGTAGAGATACTCCTTCTTAATTTAGCACCTGGATGAAAAAACACACAGCTGCCACTAAATAGAATGTTATAAATGCAGGTCATTAATTACTTCGATCATCCAGATGTTTCAGATCTTTTTTTTTTTAAAAAAAGCACTAATCTGATATTCTTTCTTATAAAATCCCAGCAAATGAAATGCTGCTGTAAATGGCAGTACCCATCTCAATCATATATAATGCTAACACTCTCAGCTTGGTACAAAACACAATGGCTAGTATTCATTGATTTCTGTTCCTTTTTTTCTTTCTCTCTAATTAATACATATATAACCTTTTGGAATAGACTTTGAGGAAGAAATCTAAGAGATTTCTAAGCAGGAACAGAAGGCTTCTAAATGTAATAAAATTTCAAGCTCCCCCCCCCCATGAGATTATGAAGTCTAGAATCTAAATTTACCTAATTGTACCATTTTTGTTCCTTGTCCTGCCAGATCAACGCCAAATACTCTACAAACAAATCAACAAAGCATACAAAAATTCTGGAATTCTCTCTTTCTGCTCCCCAATTTTCTCCTGCCCCTCAGGAAGGTTCCCCTCCTACCTGGAAGTGGGGTTCCTGGAGGATGCGGGCCAATTCAGCTGCTGTGCTATCTTGCTGAGCAATGTGTGTGATGTCTTTAAGTATCTCCTGGACCAGCTCCAAGTTGTTGTCCCGCACAGCCTCCAGTTTTGTCTCCTCCAGCCGCTCATGAGCCTACAGGGTAGATGGGGAAAGAGCAAAGAAGAAGGGATTAAAGGGACACATAAACAGATAAACCCATGCTAACCCTTTGTCCTCCTACTACAGCCTTGCATCCTGGCAGATAATATAAGGATATTAAGTTTGGGTTCCCTAAAAATTACAAGATCACCACTTTAAGGTTTGTTGATTTTTTTTTAATAAGCATAAAGGGCTTACAGACATCTCTAGAATTAAATAGCTTTACACAGTGGGTGCCCGTCAAGCTTTGTCAAGTCTTTCTGAAGACAAAGACAAAGAATAGGCTGTGCATGTTATAAAGAAAAAGAAGCCAAGTAATTACTCTTCTGTATGAAAACACACAACCCACTTGCTCAGAAACACAGCAAGGGGAACAGTGAGACAACTGAGAGCTTTTCCTGGCCCTCGGTGGCATGTAGCCAGAAATCAAACAGGTCTTTGCTGTATGAAAGATGAATAGCTGCTCTAGATAAGCCTCAAGCAGGGAAACAGACACAAAAGAGAAAGAGCTAAAAATAATAGACTGGCAAATAGAGGCTTAACTTCACTCATGGAGTCAGCTCAGATTGGGGGAGGGTAAAAAGAGCAGGCTTAATATGAATCCGATCTCACTTCTGGGAACCATTTTCTTTGCGAAAATCAGTGCTGGAAAATACTGAAATAGAAAGCTGCTGCACTTATTTGATGGAATAAAGACAAATTCTACATCCCAACCCTATAATGCTTGTGGATTAGGAAACTGGTCACCTAAAATACAGTACATGGAGAATATCATTCAAGCATTTTGTCAGAAGACTTTCAATATTTTTTATTAGGAAAATTTCTGGGATTGGTTTAGAGTTTTCTAGGCTAGCAACTTTAGCAACTTTTAGATGTGTGGACTTCAACTTCCAGCATGCTGGCAAGTGTGAAACTTAAAGTTGCTGATATTGAGAAATACTATTGTAGGCTGTTGACTTCTTTGGGATGGGGATGGATTCTGAGAAGATTTAGGAGCTCATGGCCTGCACAGCTACCATGAACCTGTTCCAAGTAATCTCTAGCCTGATTCACAGTGGTAGCCAGATGATAAATTCAGAATAGTTGGCATGTCATCTGAAATTTGAAGATGTAATTGTGAATCCTTTGCAGTATTTGGATTACATTCTGTTACCAATGCTGATATTTGAAGGATCAAAGGACTAGTTAAATGGTACATCCCTGAAGCCTCATGGACTGAGACAGATTTTAGCAGGCCTTAGGGATTTCACTAGAAATTCAGCAGATCAAATTCTGAAATGGCCTCTCCCCTTTTGCTTATTCTGAGACACTGATTGGTTTACCAAATGAAAGGAAGTTTGGAAATGAGCTTGACTGAACATGGGCTAAAGTTCATGTTCAAGCCTACAATGTGGTTTCCACCCCCACTTACAGTAAGCTCATTCAAACAGACTCTTTTTGAGATGGTTTGAAATGCTTCTTTCCAGGTTTCCTGTCGCACTGCAGTTTAAGAGATAATCTGTCAACTATCTCTTGGTTATTTATATCTATTCTCCTTTTTGCTTCTTTCCTAGACTTCTCACATCATCACACAGTCTACATGAAGAAACCGACAGAAGTCATCTATTAACCCACAGTGAAGTATCAGTATGCTGATGATATGCAGATATTTGTTTCTACCCCAGGTTAGGCTCCCAAATGCAGAAGGGCCTTAGATCTGGTATCTGAAGTCTGTGAAGAATTGAATGGGAAGGAACAAGCTTAAGCTGAATCTCTTCAAGATAGGTGTTATTTATTCCAAAAGCAAATGGCTTTGTTCCAGCTCAGCTGTGCTACTGGGCGGGATGTCGCTCTGCTTAAAAAAGCAACCACACATTTGAGATTACTGCTAGACTCAGGGCTACTGCTTGTTAGGCAGATGGAGGCCATGGCTGGGAGAGCCATGGCTGCCAATTTCTGAGGATGAGTGAGCTGCAGCCCTTCAAGAATTGGAAGCCTTGGTGGAAATAAGCATATGGCCTCATTACTGATTAGACTACCCTAACACAATCAAATTGGGAGTGTCTCTGAAGACTGCCTAAAAGCTGCCCTTTAATGCAAATTTTCTTTATAGCCATGTTAACACTGATTCTGCAGTGATTACCAACAGGCTTCTGAGTACAGTCCAAATCTCTGGTTTTAACCCATAAGAAACTACTACCACTTTCAGATTGAGCTGATCTAACCAGTCTGATAATTCTGGGTAGAGATTTTGAGGCCCCTTCAAGGAAATCTGGAGGGCATAGAACATATTTTTTTTTCTTTCACTTCTTTTTTCAGTCTCTTTGGAATAACCAAAGAGACTTTGATTTTCTTCCTTTCTTGATAGTCATTGGAAAGGCATTCATGTTTTAATTTTGAATAGCAAGCATTGATGCTGGATAACAGACACCAGGGTGAGCTGCTGATTTTAAGTTTTATCAGTGTTTTGCATTTACTTTATTGATTTTATGTATGATACTGGAAATCACTGGAAATCTTCTTACAGGGAGAGCAATATATAAAACCTGGAAGTAATACATTCTCTATATAAGCTTACTTACAAAATAATTTTAAAATTGTATTAGAACAAAGTATTTGTACTTAGATTATGTTTTCACATTAATTCCTGAATGATACTCATCTTCAAAATGGCCAGAGGGATGTTTCTTAATCTTGACAATGTGGCTGGAAAATTCTAGAAGTTGAAGTCCACACATCTTAAAGTTGCCAAGGTTGAGAAATACTGGCCTATGGAATTCAGACTGATAGGTTAAGAATTTCAAACATTCCTTCAAAGACCAGCAACACATGAACTGCTGCTTGCCTTTCACCATACGTTATTTATATTAATTTATTTTTCTTTCATTATATTGTATTTCCTATGGGTTCTAATAAGTGCAAAACTGGAGACATTAATTAGTGGAAACAAGAGGGGCAGAAATGAATAATGGAAAAAGAGGGAGAAGAAACAATTTCTTTCTAGTTGTATCTTTTGGGCAGGAGTCTTCCAGTTTGCTTGAAGATTTATCTTAGGTTTGGAAGTAGAGAACTACTAGCTCTCCCGATGTTGCTAAACTGTAACTCTCAGCAGTCCCAACTAGCCTGTTTAATGGTGAAAACTTCTGAAAATTGTAGTTAGCAATATACTGATGTTCATAAATTCCCATTCTAATCTTAGTTGTAATATTGGCAGCAAACTGAGATTCAGAGTTCTCACTCAAGGTACAAAAGAACACTTTCCAATTACTCTACTTCAGACACATTTCACGAAGACTTAGCTCTCTGGAAAAGGCATTAATGCTCAGAAAAATAGAAGGAAAGAGAAGTGGATGGACAGCAACAAGGTGGATGGGCCAGTTACAGTGTGAAGAGCGCACCATTGGAAGACTTGGGAGACCGTGTATAGAATGGATTGTCACAGAGAAAATTTACCTTTGTGGTTGCTAGGAATAAAAAATGATGGCACACAATCACTTCATCAATCAATAATGAGCAACATTCAGGATGGTGGAAGAGGAAAATGACAATTTATGAAATGTACCATAGCCACCCACTCCAATAGACTCTAGACATCTTAGAAGATATACAGTTAAAACAGTTAAACATAAAACAAAACAACCATAACAAATGACCTTTGCTGATCTCAAAAAACTAAGATTTGGTTAGTACTTGGTTGGGGTCCCATCAAGAACTCACAGGCTATAAAATAAACCAGGTCTAAAACAGATCCTAGCAGAAGGCAACAGCAAATCAACAAAACAGAAGTGATGCAGCTTAGATGTAGCACCCAACCAGGTTTTGAGTTCAAATTCATATTTTTCTAGGAAAAGTTAAAAATAAAATTTTTTATCCTAGTAAATGCTGGGAATCTAATGGTAAATGTTGAAGATACCAGGAAGGAACAGAAAAAAGTGATTGAGCAAGTATTAAAAGGCAAACAAGAATCAGAAGTCTTTCTTAGTATGAAGGAAAGTTTTAGATAAAATTAGGAAGAATTTCTGAAACTTTACAGTAATTTCCCAGGAGAGAAGATGAGAGGAGGTACTGCAGAATCACCAATCTGGGATCATCTAGGATTCTTTAAGTTTTTGTATATGTACAATACATTGTAACTTTTTTGTTCCAAAGAACAGCTTGCTTTCTTTCGTTATTCACATTTTCCTGGTTGGTCCTGCCACTGAGAATAGATTCTGCAGCTATAAATGGTGATTTTTTTTTGTCAGTAAACAGTTATTAAAATTAACAATTCTTTTCATAAACAAAGTGGAATGAACTTGGTTGCTGTTGGGGTTTTTTGAATGAATATAAGATACAAATGTATTCATGAGGAAGAAAGAACAGACGAGGGACAAAGGAACAGAGGAAATTGTTAACTAAACTATTTTGGGAAAATGTGTTATGGGCAAGACCAAGTAAGAGTAAGTGATGTAGTAGAAGCGAGTGGAACTGAAGGTGCAGGTTTTGCTCAGCTACAATCCCATCCCTGACTACCCATTTAACTGTACCTTAGCCAATGACCTTACTATTGGACTCTCCATGAGGCCACGGAGAAAGATGAGATCCAGATCTCCAGCTCCCATGGAATTGGGGAGGTCACTGAGGTTGTCCAGGACCTGTTGCATAGCTGTGTAGAGAAATGACAGCACTAATATTAGTCTCATTAAAATAAAAATAATGAAAAACAGAGTTAATTTATCCACTCTAACCTTTCAAGAGGTAGAAAAGGAGCAGATGAAAAGTAACACACCTTGTATATGCAGAACAGAGGTGAAACCACATGGCAACGGAAAACAAAGCGAAAGTGGAAAGAGTTCTTAGAAATATACATGGAAGGAAGGAGGAATTATACAATTTTTATAAATATATATGAGTAGCTCATTCACAAAAACTGAGATCTCTTCTTACAAGTTACAAGTCAACAGCACTGTCCAGAAATGCTATCAGTAGTACTAAAAAAAGAAGGCAATTTGTGATTATCTTTCTTTCTCCCAGCAGCACTTTAGGATTTTTCAAAGAAATTGAACTTCTTTTCTTGATGTTTTTCCAGAATGATTCTCAAGTACTACGCGGTCACTTCAAGAACTGCTGCAGAGACAGATGCCTTTGTGTTTAGATTACAAAATAAATTCCCTATTGAATGAAGATCAGAACTTCTTCCTTGCTAATCTCAGTCTAATGCTTTCACAGTTGCATTACACTGTCTCCAAAAATCATGTTTTTCAAATTAAATTAACTAGCCGAAAAACTGAAAACCTAACATTCTTGCTCAATATATATGACTATAGTTCATCTCAACCTGCTCTCTTAACATCTGCTGCCAGAAAAAGCTGTGTGTTTGCTGAAGCTATTTCATTAAACTGCTTTAAGCATATTTAAGAACATCCATGATTTTGCTATTATTTCACGCAATTTGCCTTTGTGTTTTGCATTTGATCAGGCTCACATATTGAATTGCTCCATTGGAAATGGTTGGTACATTTGACCGCTGAAGTATAGTAAACAACTCAGCTCAGTGATTTAGTCGAGCTGCTCTGCAGCATATTGTCCAACCCACAAAGATATATAGATTATATTCAATGTATAAGCTGTCCACTTGAATTTGTTCTTTTCCAGCCAATGCTGAATGATTTAGATGGGAGATATAACCAAAGCTAGAGGGACAAAGTCCTTTGATATTCTACTTCTTTTGGAAGAATTAGGTCAAACTGACATTCCCTCCTCTTATCAGCATATCCAGGGCATATCCAGGGCAGAAACTAAGGCAAACAATCCTGATACTCTGATTAACACTGGCAGAGTGCCACAGGCATTGGCCTCATCTCCATTTCATAAATTCATCTATACAGGATTTAATAACTAAGATTTTATTCTCAGTCAGTCAACAGGGCAGAAAGTCTTCCAACGTTGCAAAGGAAATTATTTTTAAAAACCCAGCAATAGTCACATCCAAAGACAAGAATTAATTACTGAAGCTCTTCCAGGGATGTATCTGTTGCTAATCTTATCTTATTTGTTTCTCTCCCTGAAAGTCTATTTGTTCTTAATATTGCAAGCAGAACAACAAACACAGTGGGAAAAATCAGATAGCATTTTATAAAAAATAAAAAGAAAGAAACCACTTTGGACAATAAATCAAAGTTGGGTTTTTTTGCGTATTCCAAGCAATGTTCTTCAGCACCACTATGTCCATATAAAATTTCCAGAGTGCACATTGGGCTTCATGTCTCATTTATTATTTTTCAAACATTAATTACAAAAATTAACAGGAAAGCTAGCACACAGCAAACAAAGCGTAAGATTTTGGCAAGTTACTATACTCTGAATGTGTCCCAGGACCCAACATGAGTCCCTTATCATTCTAAAGACATAAAAAAGTTAGCAGCTATATCTTAGCACTCAACTTTCAAGAATTTCTATCTCCCCAGAGGCTCTAGGACAGTGATGGCGAACCTTTTAGAGACCGAGTGCCCAAACTGCAACCAAAAACCCACTTATGTATCGTCGGGTGCCGATTGGGCGTGGCCCATTGGGTGGGTATGGCCAATTGGGTGGGCATGGCCCATATGGTGAGCATGGCTGCGGTGGTAACAGCAGACTGGGTGGGACTAAAAAGTTCAATCAATCAATTCCAACTTTGCGAGATCTTTTTTTTCCCGTGAGAAGTTAAAATTGATTGATTAATTGAACCTTTTTTTTTTTTTGCACATGGTGGCGAAGGCCTAAAGCGAAAAGGTTTTATAAAACCCAGCTAAAGGCCTAGGACTGAGGTGACGGTGTGCATGCCCACAGAGAGGGCTCTGCGTGCCACCTCACTGCAGCCAATCTGGTATGACCATCTCACCGCAGGACAACTCACCATGTGTCCCATAGTGTGTTGGCCATGGAGAGATGGCAGCACTGAGATGACTATGGTGAGTTGACTCATTCTGCTTTCCAGAGACTGGGAAAGATTTAAGGGATTAAGGAAGGTGTCAGTGAGCAAACTGCTCAGGCCATGTATTGTGGCAGTCACTTCATTGTCAACAAAATTCTCTTGTTCCTCTGCCCCTAAGCAAGCATTGTTTGTTAGTAGATGCAACGTGCTCTCATTTTTTTGAATATACATTTCAACACAAACTTTTGTATACTTTTAACATACTCTATTGTCTGCTTATTTTCTTCAGGGAAGTTTTAGAGTATGGAGGTATTAATCCTGTCTTTCCTTTGCAGCAGTGTGAAGTAATAAAATCCAATGATGGACTTTGGAAGCAGGATAGAAAGAGTATTGACACTGTTGAACTTTGGTGTTAAAGAAGATTCCTGAGAATACTGTGGACATCCAAGAAAATAAACAAATGGCTTAATGAATAATCAACCCAGAATTCTCACTTGAGACACAAATGACCAGGTTCAAATTATCCTACTTTAGATATATCATGCAAAGACTTAATTCTCTAGAGAAGATTCTATGGCTTAGAAAGTTGAAAAGAAAGAGGATGATCAGCAGCAAGATGTTACAGTAGCAATGAGTATATTGTCAGGGGACCTGAAAGAACCGGTTACTGATACATCATCATGGGGAAAAAATCTATGTGGTTGCTAAGAGTTGACAAAAAGTAATGCCACATAAATCAGGCCAATCCAGGCACCAGGAAATCAGTATCATCTTTTTAAATTTTCTACTGCAGACATGAAGGAGAATGGTAAACCTTACACTTGCTGTGTAAATATATAGTGGTGGTTTTTTGCAGAGAAAATGCTTAAAAAATGTATATGACCAACTCTTGCATCAATTGCCTAAAGTCACTGGTATGAGATGGACATTTACATTTCATTGAAGTGATAGAAACAGAAATAAACAGCTTATAAAATATAATGCAATAATAAGCAATATATCTAAAGTCTGGGATAAATAAAAAAAGAATTAGTCCACAACTTCACCTTTTGCCTCAATATTGTCACAAAAAGGATAACACAAATTTTCTCACTGGAAAGGTAACAAATCATTACATACAGTACATTCATCAATAAGCCAAATATGAAATCTTTTTAATCTGCAGAGTTACCAGAATCACACATGCAGTTTCAAAATCTTCAAATGAGTGAAATAGTTTTAAAGAATGCAGAAACCCAAAGAAACACGTAGAATTTGAATCGCTTATAAAACAAAATTCAGAGATTTTTTGGCTCTTTTTATAAACTGTTTGTGAAATATAACTCAGAAACCAAACAAGTAAAAACCAAACAAGAATTTAGACATAACTGGTATGCAATTGTAACAATTTCAGTAGAAGAAATCTATTACACAAAATATACTTACAGAAAAGTGGAATAAAATGTTTTACTGCTGGCATATATAATTCCATTACCGATTACTAAGCTGGATAGATCATTTGCTAAAAATTGTTGGAAATGGTTGGATCTTTTTTCCATTTTAGGTAGCGATGAAACATTTTGGAAAATAATTTCTAACAGAATGAAACAAATTCTAAACGCTGAATTTCCTTTTTAACTTGCTCTTATTATACATTACTAAACCTTGCATTCCCACAAAATATACCAAATTAACTTTCCACACAGCAACTGCTGCAAGGATACTTTACATTTCCTATTGAAAATATATTCAATTCTTTTTGCAGAAGATTCACCAATTAAGTTATGGAAATTCACTTGGATGTTCAAAATTCATATTTGAATTTGATATACAGATATTCATAGTTAAATAGTAAATCTGATGCAGGGCTTAACTTTTTATGAGCTTGTGCCACATCTAAAATTTGGATTTCAGTTGACATGAAATCTTAATATTCTGACCTTCAATGATCTATTAAATGAGGATAGATTTTCAACTGCTCAAATGGGATGTACTATAGTTCCTACCTATGAATCACATTGTGTTGATTATAACTTGAATCAATGAGTTTTTAAAATAATGCAACCTATTCATTTATTTAACACTAATTAAATAACTGGAAATTTCTATCTGATTTTATACCTGTAAATTCCCCATTTATTCACTTTATTCCCCCTCTTCTTCTTTTTCTTTTCTTTTTTTTTCTCCTTTCTTAAAAATGGTTAATAAAAATATAATAAAAAGAGAAAATAACACCACTAAACTTTATATTTTGCCTCAGTACACTGATTGTGATAAAGGATAAGTGGTGTTTTTCCTCGTTTTAGCTACCCAAGTCAAGCAGATTGCTAGTTGATTTTACTTCAACTCTGATGATAGAATAGAATTCTCTACTGAATATGAACGCAGCACATTAGCTATGATGCAAAGTACAGGCCAGGTGTTACGTGTCATTTTATCCTTTGCCTCTGCTCACTGCTGGCTAGAACAGCTTTTGAGGCACCAGGGATCGGTTCCATGTAGAAAAGTTTTTCTGGGGACCGGAGGAGGCACGGTTTCACATGGTGCCTGCATCCTGTAGGTGGGGCTTTCCTTGTTTGCGTGGACCGGTGTCAGTCCATGGACCATGGGGTTGGGGACCCCTTGTCTAGAAAACTGATCCATTCCTAATAGGGCAAGCAGATCCAACCCATGCTTGCATGCCACAGCTAGTAACTTTTATCATTAATATGTAACTTATATACATTAACCATATTATATATTTTATATGTAGCCCAAGACAATTCAGCT